GTGCCTTTAACTTAAGTACATATTGCTCCATCCAGTCTAAATGAATGGGAAAAACTCAGAACTAATATGTATTTTGGTTTGGTCCTTTGTCCTTTTAAAGTGAGAGTATACACTGTTGGGAGAAATGGTTCCTTTGATCTGCTGCCTTCTAGCTCTTGAGCTGAAGTGGAAACTCAGGAGTGTCATGTTCATATAAGGATGTGTTTCTTGTTATAGAACAAGGAAACATCCAACGTGGCCTTTATGTTTCATGTGAACCTCAAAGCTCTTTCATTTCCTAAAGGCAAAAGCAGCAGTAAGTTACTACATACTAAATGTTAACACCTTCAGACGTATCCACACAATGTCTTTAGTCCTCCAATATTATATAGGTTTCCTAGATAACACACAGCCCATACTTCCTTTCCTTCTATAACAGTTTCTTGACAATAGAGACCATAACACCTTTCCCCCCCGCAGAGGTTTTATGACGGGCTTACTAGGATTCTCTTGGTTCTCATAGTGCTAAATAATGTACCTGTGAAAAGCAGGTCTAAGAGCCTGAAGGCTCTGTGAGAATAGGGAATTGGGGCCCTCAGCTGCACTCAAATTGCCTGGAGCTCTTGCTACAAAGGGAAGCTGGGGAATGCATTGGATGGCCCAAGATTTTTCTCCCCTCAAATGATGTTTATATGGTGCATACAGTTCAAGAAATTAGGTTTTTTTAAAGGAGCTTTAATAGCAACAACCATCTCTTGGTCAGTCTTAACTTTCCATGTCTACTTTAAAGAGCTCTCAAATCACTCCCCCAACAAAGTGGCACTGCATAACAAACTTGTCACAATGGTAACATTCTGACTAATCCCAGTGTGGTGCTTCTTACTGTATGAGTAATCCCTTAGTGAATACAATGAGAACATGCCTTTTTGAAACAAAACAGCATTGTCCAATTCTAGCAATTTGTACCACTACTTCCAAAGTGATACTGCATCTACTAAAATGCAAAAGTCTCCATTTCATGGCAAGCAAGGTGGATGCAAAGCGAAGCAAAGCAAAGCAAAGCAAATACTACCACTTTGGCAATAACTACAATTCCAGTCAGAGGTACAAAGAAAACTCAGTGATGCTTTAAGACGGACTTCAGCAGGGTTTGCACTTAACATTTTCTGTATTTCACTTTAAGACTCTTTCAATATGTCTTGCAGTGTTGTGAAAGAAGGATTGCCATTTTCTTATTTGTAAAGGTCTTCTAAATAAAGATACTTGGTCCATAACAGTATAGGGGACATTGAAGCACTCAAAGCTGATGGGCCATAAATAGACACCAGCAAGCTGTGCTATTTTTCTAGAAAAAGAATGAATGCCTCTATATCCTTACGTGTTTCCACCTCCCTAAGAAAAGTCAGTGGTGTGATTTTTAACAGTGGGTGATTCATGGACAAAGCCCACTAAATGAAGCCTAACACTTTGCTTCTCCATAAGGTACAATATCAATTATAATACCAAATCAAGGTGTAGCATACAGGTTGCATTACGCACCAAGCAGTTCCTGATTTAGATCACGAGCTTGCTTAGGCAAGGGTCAACCTGTCATTGGCAATATGATGGTGGTACTGATGTTGCTGCTGATCCTCACTATCATCTACCTTACAGGGTTGCAGAAAGGCTTGAAAAAAGGACAATATGGGAAAACCTTGAACATTCTTAGTTGCAGTATACAGAGCTCCTCCAGAAGACCTATTTCTTGAGCATTCATCCTATTTTGCTTGCACAAAGCTTACACAGAGGTTTGTTTATACCTGGTCTTCATTGGGAACTTGTGCTTCTTTACTTGTGGGATGGTCATATGATGACCAGCCTTCATCCTGATTTGCTTACGGGGTATCTTACATTAGTTGTTCATTCACCCCACACTTTTCTATGCATTTCCTCATCACTTTCCTTAGCCCAAAAAGTCCAGTGGTGTTGGTTTTTTTAAGTGGATGTGTTGCGTTAGGGTGCCAGAGTCCTTTCAACCACTTTAATTGTGCAAACCTGAAGTTCTGGTATGTGTTGAATACCTTAGGGTTCCTTGATTTCAGTAAGGCCTTTGACAAAGTCCCCCATGATACTGTTTTGAGGCAACTGAGGGGATGCTCATCAAATTTACAGATGGTACCAAACTGGGAGAGGTAGCTAATGCTGCAGAAGACAGAATCAGAATTCAAAATGACCTTAACAGATTGGAGAACTGGGCGCAAGCTAATGAGATGAATTTCAACAGGGACAAATGTAAGGTTCTGCACTTAGGCAGAAAGAACCAGATGCACAAATATAGGATGGGGGACACCTGGATTGACAGTAGTACATGTGAAAAGGATCTAGGGGTCTTGGTGAACCACAAGCTTAAGGTGAGCCAACAGTGGGATGCAGGAGCAAAAAAAAGCTAATGCTATTCTAGGCTGCATCAACAACAGTATAATGCCCGGATCAAGGGAAGTAACAGCACCACTCTATTCTGCCTTGGTCAGACCACACCTGGAATATTGTGTCCAATTCTGAGCACCAGAATTTAAGAAGGATGTTGACAAGCTGGAATGTGTGCTGAGGAGGACAACCAAGATGATCAAGAGTCTGGAAACCAAGCTTTATGAGGAGCGGTTGAAGGAGCTGGGTATGTTTAGCCAGGAACTGGGTGTTTTAGCCTGATAAAGAAGAGACTGAGAGGAGATATGATAGCCATCTTCAAATATATCAAAAGCTGTCACATGGAAGAGGGAACAAGCTTGTTTTCTCCAGCTCTGGAAAGCAGGTCTTGAACCAATGGCTTCAAGTTACAAGAAAGGAGATTCCAACTAAACATACAGAAAAAAAATTTCTGACAGTAAGAGGTGTTTGACAATGGAACGGTCTCCCTCAGAGAGCTGTGGACTCTCCTTCCTTGGACATTTTAAAGCAGAGGTTGGGTGGCTACCTGTCATGGATGCTTTAGCTGAGAGTGCTGCATTGCAGGGGGTTGGACTAGATGACCCTTGGGTTCTATGATCCCTCTTTTGATGTCATTTCAGAACAACAAGAGGCAGGATTTTATTCAATAAAAGGTAAAGTTATGGTTGTTTGATTGTGTTGTTTTTTTAAAAAAACTTTTCCCCTGGTTGTATGGGCTAGGGTAAATAAGTTTTTCCCAGCTGTCTGACAACAAATTGGTAAGCATCTGCCGTGCGTGTATGTGTATGTAGAATGCTATAGTAAGAAAGTAATTACTTTTACTCACTATCCAGACATATTAGTCTCATGTTTGGGGGTGTAGGGAGTCCGTTGTATATGTAATCCCAATAGGGCTTACTTCTGGAAAGAGCTGCACAGGATAGGGAATTCTAATCTGAGGTACCCATTGCTAAAACTAAAGTAGGGTAGTCTTTATTCTGAATTATTCTGCAACACTTTTGTCTCTTGCTTCATACATCATCAGTTCTGGTTCCGCCCACTGTGCTCCAATAGATCAACTACAAGGGTATGCAACCCTTCACAGAAGAAAGGTTCCCAACTTCTGTTGTACACCTTTAGAAATATATTTTGTTCAAGAGAAAAACAAGAAGCAGATTCTTAGAAATTAATTATGTCCAATTTACTCTTTTAGTTATTCAATGGAAGAATAATACAAAAATATAATATCAGATGTAGTTTTATAGATATTGATCACTGGGAATCTAGAGTAATCCAAGTACAAATTTTGCCGGGAATCATAGGTCAAAGCACTTCCGTTTTCCACATTTTAGAAGCTAGAAATTATTGACATTAATTCATTATTTAAGTATCGTACAGTACAGTCTGTAAATATCTAACTCTTAAAGGCAGGAAAAGTATAGTCCTTTCCAGTCAGTCTTTGAATACATGTATGGGGGATAATAAGGGTTGTGCATGCTGTCTTCACCTATTCTTTATGTACCTTCACAACTGGAACAGAACATGTGTGTGTATATCAGTTTCTGGAAGTGTGAACCATGAAAATACACTTTTATATAGACAGACACTGTTCCTACCTTCAGGGTGGGGCCTACCACAGTAATTCCCCTCCCACATGTTTAAATCACTGCAATAAATTCCCCTGGAAATTACTCATTACAATTCTAGTGATATATAACGTTAATCATACTTAAGAGTAGAACTACTGAAATCAATTATCTTAAGTAACTTGTGTCAGTTGATTTCAATGGGTTTACTATGAATATGACAACAGATAATCCTTGTATTTTTCTTTACCTCACTCTGTACAACACAGCTGGGTAACCTGTGAAAATGCTGAATAGTATCTGATCATACTATAACTTCTGCACACATTACACTCCCTGCCAAATATTGCTTTTACATAGTACAATATATAATAACATATAGAAAAAAAATCTATTTTTTTTTAATAAAAAAAGGCATGAAAGGGAAGAAAAAAAATACAAACTAAGGAGAAAACCAAGTGTTCAGGTTACTTTTAGAGGTAGGGGGAAAGGAACAGTCTCTCTGGTGATGGCAAGTTCTATCATGAAAGGCCACTGATAATGTAAGTCCCACCATGACATCAGATGGAATGAGATTTGCATACAACAAGCAGTGTCTATGCATGCCAAAAGAATTCCCGAAGCAAGTTTCTAATGCAGAGAGCACCTATAAATTGGAGATTGGTCTTAAATCCAAGCTATTACTTTATTAGTCAGCAAGGTAAACTGCATAGAGCAGGCATTCTCTTATCACAATTGCCTAAATCAGGGGTCAGCATCTTTTTCAGCAAGGGGCTGGTCCACTGTCCCTCAAACCTTGTGGAGGGCCGGACTATATTTTTTTTGGAGTGGGGGGGAATGAAGAAATTCCTATGCTCCACAAATAACCCAGAGATGCATTTTAAATAAAAGCACACATTCTACTCATGTCAAAACACCGGGCAGACCCCACATATAACCCAGAGATGCGTTTTAAATAAAAGGACACATTCTACTCATGTAAAAACATGCTGATTCCCGGACAGTCCACGGGCCGGATTTAGAAGGCGATTGGGCCAGATCCAGCCCCTGGGCCTTAGTTTGCCTACCCATGGCCTAAATCACTCTATTACCATGCTACTGAAATCTCAATAGATAGCAAGTAACACAGAACCACTTGTAGAAGCTCATGGAACCTTCTAGCCATTATATGGGCCACTGATGCAAGGTCAAGTTAGCCAAGACTTATATAGATGGTGTAGATGATAGAAGTGTGGGTCATTTTTGCAGTCAAAGCAACAATTATGTTTTGCCAGCCAGGCACACAAAGGGGCTGAGGCTCACAGAGCTTTCCTGTGAATTTGCTAGAGAGAACTCTATGAGATCAATTCCTTTGCTGCCTTGGCAGGAAGCTGTAACACCACATACTTCCTTTCTGCCTGGCAGCCTCCCTTTCTTCACTGTGCTTCCAAACTGATCATAAATGCAGGTTTGAGCTCTGTAGCTCAGACACCATTTAAACTTACATTTTGTTCTTTTGTAATTTAGGTATTAGTTACAAACCTGCTTTCATAATTGCTACTGCAAACGACTGCTTCAAGACTTAGGCTATGTAAGTAAATGCAACTTTTATTTCTTCACAAATAAATGTTTGTGTGATTGTTGTCTTTAAGGGGGAGAAAAGGGGTAATACCAGGAAAAACTATTCTGCCTTAAAGCATCCTGGATTGTTGTTTCTAGAAGATTAAATCAAACTTGTATTAGCTTCCAAATTTAAAGGAAGCAAAGGGTGGTACTCTGCTGATCTCACGTGAGAAAGGAAGGATAATAACTTAATAATATTCCATCTCCTAGTGTCTAAACCCATTCCCACAAACCATGACTGATACTTGATTTTTTTTGGTATGATGAAAAATGACATCCATATATTTTATGTGGCCTCCTTCTTCAATGTCTGAGCATGCAGCTGTTATAGGAGTCAAGAGTACTCTCCTATTGACCATCCCTTCCTGCATGTATTCTTTCTTGGACTAAATATAATGCAACACAAATTCATGCAGATTGTTTTATATATAATGTCCTCAGTGCATGTTCTAAATTGTCTTTTTGTTTGCATAATTCTATACTACCTTTTAAAAATAATAATTGTAATTGTGATTTCCACTGAAGATAATTAAAATAATGAGATGCAAACACAAAATAGTTTTATATGCTTGTACAAAATAACATGTAAGTCTTAAAATGAATTAATTTTATTCATTTTTGCCTTTCCTTCATGCTGTTTTAAACAACTAACAACAAGTTACAGTCCATCAAATCTAAGTAGCCACACAGCCCAAATTAACCATGTCAACTCACAAGTAAGTCCTACTGAATTTGGTAAGTAATCAAAGTGGTTACTCCCAGGAATCTGAAGAAGTGTGCGTGCACACGAAAGCTCATACCAATAACAAACTTAGTTGGTCTCTAAGGTGCTACTGGAAGAAATTTTTTTATTTGGTTTCGACTCCCAGGAAAGTGAGGTTAGGATTGCAGCCATATATACATTTATCTTAATTTTAAATAACAAATTGTATATGATAAGACAGAAATACAATATTTAATCAGTATCTTGAGTATTCTTTTCAACTGTTTTGTCAAACCAGGTAGTGATGCCCTGCTAGCCAAATTCAGATGGAGCATGAGAATGAAATACAAAAGTAAACAGGCCTAAAGCAGCCTGAGGGAAAGTCAGCAAGATGGCAATTTCAATCATTTGGAATAATACCAAGGCAGCCCTAGGCTTTCCTCAGAATGGAAACATGTCACCATTACTGCAACATTTCAACAAATCAGAATGCAGAAGAATGGAACACTTATGTAATCACATCAGCTGAACAGCACTTTACTCAGCATTTAAGTGGAAAATAATTATGAAGAAATTCCATTTATGTGAATGGCTTAGCACAGATGTCCAAGGAAAAGAATAGTTCCCTTAAAGTTCTTTTTGAAGTTAATGCAAAAACACATTGCTGAGTTTTAAAAAATAACTTTTACAAAAATGTCTCTGAAATGATGAGGAACAAGTTATATAAAATAAAAGCATAAGATGTGGCAAAAGATCTGTTAATTCAAGGTACACTAAATACAAATTGTATTTCAAGCCCTTTTCTGTCAGAGAGTTTCATTAAGTTAAACAGCATGTCATATTATTCTACTGAAAAATCAAAAATATTTCAAATATTTAAGGAACTTACCTAATCAGTACATTTTTAGTATGTGTCTAGTCATGTAGCCATCTTTTACTCAATCATCAGAAAATCAAAGGCAAATTGGCATGACTCAACCCAAACTTTAATACCGCATGATTGTGTCGTGTAAGCTTGTTTTGTGTGATGGCTGCTGTGGTTTTAGCAGAGAGATTAACGACCGGACCTAAGCTGGCCTCCAAACCTTGCCCTGCTGATGCCTCAAGCCCTTTGAAGTCTGACCATCATACCTGGCAAAACAACAGTGGGAACTAGGCTGGTGTCAGATCTAATCAAGTTGCCTGCCTCAGCATAGCTAACTATGGGGTACACTAATTGGCCCAATTGCGGATTATACCTTTTGCTACAGATTCAAGACAATAATTTAGTCAAATGATGGTTTTTATCTCCTTCTAATTAAGATTCCAAAGTAGGAAGAAATAGGATTAGACAAGCTAACTTCAAAATTGTGAGTCTCTATTTTTAAAGAGATATGCACTAGTATTTTAAAACATGTATAAATGCAATGAAATATCAATACATTTCTTAGAATGCACAATCATTATCTCATTTCCAACAAGCGAGTAAAAATGTACACATAGGCATACTTTAAATTCCAATCAATATTGCCAAAAATACATACATTACATACCACTACCAAAGGCCACTACATTTTCTAGTTTTCCACATTAACATGTACTTAAACATTAAAAATAATAGACTGCCTAGTATGACCTCTTTATAATGGTAATGATGATATGACACTTAAGCTGGTTGCTAATAAGCACATTGTAAAGGACCCTATGATAAGACTGGATAACTAATAACATACTAAGGAATTTGAGAAAACTCATCCCGTGTACTCATGTTGTTACTTGACAAGCAATAGCCTAGTGATGAAAACATAGCTGAAGTAGTTATGTTCTAAGTCACCTGTAAATTCCGACATCAAGATTCTAATCTGTTTTTCAGAGACATTGTTAGCTTTCAACACAATGACCGTATGAATGTTGTGTACACTGCTACTTGTCTATAACCTTCAACCTCTTCATTTAACCCCCTGTTGAAGAATGCTATATTACTTTCTCTACTCTTGTTAAAAATGACACGTCTATAAAATTTGCTATAATTTGTATAATTTATGATGCTTGTATTTATTTGTATTTATTTCTAATCCAGGTATGAAAAGGGCTTTTATTTTTTCCTTTTTTGAATTCTTAAATTTAATACGATTTAAAATTTAAAACTACCTCCATGCTACGGTTACATGAGCTATGTAGCCAATGCTTTATACTACCTTACTTATACTATCATTCTGCAATTTAAAAATATGAGTAGAAGAACACCAGTGCAGGGCAATGTTGTAAATTAAGACAGATTTGTGATAATGTAGTAGCTTTTTCTCCAGCAAGAATGAAAATCATTTATAAGGGGCATAGTCTTGAACAATGAGGGATGATATTATTCAAGTAGGTCATCTATGCATGTCTACAGTTTCTTGTCTAAAGGCTCCTTAACATTGCTAAATCAAATGCCTTTACCCTTAGGCTCCAGAAATTCTGTATAGTGGGCTCTGGGTTTGAAATTGAGAGCAACAGAAAACAGTAATCAGAGATTCTATTTATAGAGGAAAGCTCTTCTAAATCAAGCTTCCTTGTGGAAAAATAAATCAAAATTGTTTCATTCAGAGATATATTAAATGGAAGTTTAACACAGTAAGAAAATACTCTGCCTGTTTGCCTGTGTCAGATAACAATTACAGTTTCTACATTTTAAATTCTAGCATGAATATTAAGGTCCCTTATTGTAGTAGTGAATCAGAAGATGAATAGCCTTTTGATGAAGTGAAATTATGTTAAAATGGACTACTACAGTACAGTGTTTAGTTCCATTAAATGTATTCTTTCCTGAGAAGTGAAAAACCCACAGAGGAATCACAATCTCTTAAAAGGGAAAAAAAATGACACAACAATCTTCATCATGCATATTTGGCTTTAAGTGGCTTTTGAAGGGAGCATCTCTAGTTGAGAAACTTCAAGTACTCATGCAGAGATGACCTGCCTGAAAAACTGGCTTCTTGATTAACTATTAACTACTTTCAATAGGACTAGATAATTAAGGACATTGATGACCATTATTAGGAGGAGGGCACTTTAATTTGTCACTTGATAGGCTCCTTTCAACAATTTATAGGTTAGTGCAACTTGCAATTGTGGAGAGACACTGAGAGAGATGGAGAGAGAGAGAGAAAGAGAACCCTTAAGTTACCTTATCAAGTGGCCAGCTAAAGAGGGCAGAGGGTCAAATAAGGGCCAAAGTGGTCACTTAAGGGTGAAATCCCAAACACCAAAGCAGTGCCAAGCCACATTGACCATCATTTGGTGATGAAGTAAAAAATATGCTAATATATTGGTGGCAATTCTTCCTTTTATGGTTTCAAGCAGTTAAGACAAGTGGCCTGCTTAACAGCTTTTCATTTGAAAAGAGATTAAACTAAATGATTTGTCAGGCCTGCTTGGCTGTTTTATGTCTTTGTTTAAAAGCTGTAGAGACTGTATTGATGACTCCCAAAGCCATCTCTTTTTTCACTCGGCATTTACTTGGTTAATAAATACATCAGCTCTAATTGCTTAATAGTTCTGTGTCCACTTGCTCTTTAGCAAGCCTAAAACAAAATAATCTTTTTGTGTTATTGCCTTCTCTGCGGACTATGCATAAAAGGTCAGGGGGGAAAAGTTTAAATTCAGCAGAAAATTTACTTAAGGACATTAATGTAAATGATACTGTGTTTAAAATGACACAGAAGAGCTGAAGGTGATTCCAGTAATGCAAAGGACGTGGTTTCTGAATATTGATAAGGACACTTATCCTTCACAGCACACTCAATTTTAGGCAGCATTGCACATTAGAAACCCTCAACTGGGGTAATAAGATGTAAACACTGTCCCACTCACTAAAACAAGTAAAGAGCAAGTCATTACCATATAATTAAACAAGCTCTTGACGTCTTTAGAAATATGCATGTCATGCTTTGTTATTGAAGGTTGTGGCCTACTTTTTATACATTCGTTTGAAAATAAAATGAATGGTTTCCGGATACTTCAGTTTCTGTAACGCAGAAATTGACTTCATTTTAATAATAAAAACAATAATTTCTAAAACCTTCCCAAGCATGAAAAGCCAGCTAAATAGCTGATACAAATTAAATATGGTTAAACATTTAAGACAAGATTTCATCTTTCATGCAGAATTGTATATATAAAGGAAAAAACCTTACCTCAATAATGAATAGCTTCCTTTTCAATCTAAAAGCAAGGTCCTTCGTGTCTGACACATCGCAGCTCAAGCTATTAAGCCGAGGAATCTGGCGTATGTGAATCAAACCTTGTGAAAAGGAAAAGTAATAGAGGAAAAGAATTAAGAAAATGCTGATATCCAGATGCGTAAATTAATGTCTTACAGCAGAATTCAGTATATTTACACACACTCATCCTCCCCTTTTAAAACTGGAGCTTGCGACCAGGAGCAATGAAGCAAACGGTGCGATTATACTCAAGTAATCAAGCAGAATAAGATAAACAGAAATCCTTGTGCGAGGAAAACTAATTGCACTTTGGTACAGAGGTACAGATGTAAAGAGGGATCTTAATACTTGTCAAAACTACAGCCGGTTTGTGTGTGATTTTCCCTTGTATTTACAGTAAGCAAATATGGCTATCACCTTGCATGCTGCCCACGGCACCACTGAGTGATCTTTATTTTATTAAATGCACCAGTAAGCAGCCAGCAAAGCAAGGCTCATGGGTTACTGATAACCAGTGAAGCTCTAATGAAAAGTATTTTGCTTTACACCTTGAAGATGACTTTTTAAAAAGTCTTGTGGGAACTAGAGTTGTAGAATATGCTGCTGGAAAATTTTAATCATGACATAAACCCAACATAAATTATTTTCTGCATGCAAGATGTTCATTGAGCTTGCAGGAATTTTGTAACAATACTGGGCACAGTGCAAGCTCTGCATACTGTCAGATGGGTCTCAAGCTGATTTCTTTTGACAAGGATGCTGGATGGTTTCTGTGCAGCTTAATATAGTTTCTGAACAACCAAAGGGTCATTTTCCACAATAGAAAATGAGAAATATTTTACAAGACATCACAATTAAAGGTTACATTACATTTGTTTTAAATTTAATGAATAAAGATAAAAAATACTGGGCAATTCAAATGGCATTTTTATCAAGCAGTCCTTGTTTTAAAAATGAACACTCTTTTCAACTGTGAAGTAAAATCAGCTGTTTTTAGGGGAAATTAAGAAACAGTACATGTTGCTGAATACACTATTATACAAGAGACCAAAACTTTAAAAAAATTAAACATCTTTTAAACCCCTGAATGTTATAATTTGTATTTTTCTTAAATTACTGAAAGCTAGAATTATTTTTGTAGAACTTACTGCAAATGCAAACTTTTTCCTTCAGACAATCTTAAACACATCAGACCTAATCTGTCTAAAGTTAGTGACAAATTCTCATTGAAACCAAGAGAAGCGATTCAGTTACTTTGGACTAAGTCTTACCGGTTTCAAGGAAACTCAGCTGTGCCCACCTTTAACTGGACTAGTGCCAATACATGGAAGTAGACTACAATTATTCCAGTGAAACTGGGTTCCACAGTTCCAAGGTAGCAATTTGTGTGTGAATAGGGTCAATATATATGCAGCTAGAACATCTACTCTTGAAGAGGCAAGCTACTATTCAGTTTAAAAACAGCTTGCATCTTTAGACTGGGAGCTAACAGAGAGGAAACTTGGAAAGAAAATGCTGGCTGAACACACAGTGCTCTTATTAGTGCATTAATTATTTCTTGGGATCACAACCAGTGCATTTCAAATTGGGGTGAGATCAATGTAAATATGATTAACCAAATGATATAAAACACGTTTCTTGGCTAATGTTTCTGTACACTTCAAATGGTAGTGGTAAATCACTGCCCCAATTCTGTCTTTTGAGGGATGCCGCTTAAGAATGTTTTTGGTGTACTTAACAAGTTATCTATCTAGTAAAAGCTGTTGACATGAAAATAATAACTAGAAATCAAACCACATCCATTGTTCAATGTTCTATTAAACATGCTTATGTTTCAAAACAAAGGAATTGTTATGCACAGTTTAATACTAACACACAGTGCTTTAGAAACTAGTGCAGGAGTAAAGTGCATATAAATGCAGCAAACAGAGAATGGCCTTCAGGAAGTTTGTGCATGCTAAAAGCAGTAAACTGTGATGCAAGGTCACAAGTTATCAATGTTTTGAAATTGTAAAAACAAATGCTATTAAATTATAAAGCTACTAATGTAAAAGTCATAATTTTTAATGTACAAGCCTTTCCACTTTTGAGCAATAGACTTCTTGACAAAGGATTTTTAGAAAGACAAATCCCTGAATGTTTTGCAGAAGTCTCAAAAAGTTACAAATTAACTAAGCAGTGGAATAATTTATAGAAAAAACGATTTGTTACTGATTAAGAAAGAACACAACATTTTAAACAAAAACACAAGCACATTACAAAATATACGTGTTCCCTTACATAGCTTCACAACTGTTAAAAAGTAACAATATTTAATCTGTAGGACTGTATTTAATTGAACCAATGCCACATGACCTATATAAGTAAAAAAAGAAAAGAAAAAAGGCTATTTTTTAAAATAGCTTTTTCATTTCTGATACTCACTTTGTTACTTAAGGAAATGATTTCAAGAGATTTGTTTGTTACATAAAAAGTACAGCACTAATCAAGCTGAAGCAAATAAGTTGCCACTACTCCATCCAAGCTGCGTTTTCTCATTTTATGCCGAAGAGCATTTACACATTCTTACAACATTTACAGCAGGATTCAAATAAGCAGCTCAGTCTTTGGACTGGAGGTTTCCATGGAACTACAGTAGTGTACAATAATAATAATGGTAATTTATGCACATTCAAAGCTCTGTTCTGGATTAGCTAAAACTGTTTGTCATTCAGTTTAGACTCTTAATAACGTTTAAACTCTCTGAAAGTGTGTTCCAAGAACTTGCACAAAAATCTGTACAAAAGGATCCAGACAAAAATGTTGTTAGACATTCTTGATGAAAATACATGAAAAGTTGACTGCAAGAAGTTTCTACAGCAAAACTGGTTTTCTATATAATTTAAATTGTACCATACACTTCTACTCTTCTGATTTTTAAAAACATGTCGTAGTTAAATTCAAGAAAACTAATTGGCAATCTTTAGAAATAAAATTCTCCCTTTGTGCTGTATCATTTAGCCGTCTGTTCACCGAAATATATAACTGTTCTTCATGTTCTCTATTTAGAACTTGGCAGATCAAAACTATTGATTTCATGACAATTTCAGCTCACTGGTCAGACAATTGCCAAGCCTCCTCTGCATGTGAATTCCCCAAAGCCTGCCTGTTGAGATGTACATCTGATTGAGCCATGCCTTGGTAATACAGCTTGACAACATGCAAGGAGTTGCCATGTTTCCTTTGCAGCCTTAATGCACTTTAGTAAAAAAAATATGTCTAAATCAAGATTGGTTAGCAAGGTGAAACATTTAAGAGGCATATTCAAAAATGAAATCAAATGCTACTTTATGGCAGATATTCCAATTGCAGGGTAAACTGCTAAGTGCCCTAGAAGCACTTAGGGCACACTTTTTGCATTGCTAAGGAAAGGACGGAACTTACCATGGTAATCCTTGTATAATGGATTGGTTTCTCTCTCAGAGCCAATAAATGATTCAAGACCAACTACCGTATCTGACAAGTTTGTAACACGTTCCATAATTGCTTTATTCTGTAAAACATGGAAACAAAATGCACAACCTGTGATGAAAAAGATAATTAAGGTTCAAAGAGCAGCCCTTTATATTCTCAATGACAATTTGAAGGAAAAATAGGTCATCAATACCTAGAAATTATTGAAAATGTGAGAAGCATTACCTCTCCTCTGCCAGAGAATACACTGTAATGTTTTCTAATGTAATTTTTATTATTAAAATTAGAATATAGCTTGAAGGAAGCGTTATGTATACATACACAATCCAATCCAATCAAAGGCCTGGTTTGCACAACACACCAAGCCAAAGCTTGGCTTGGCAAGATGGCACAATTGTAAAGGGTTCTCAGAGAGAAACTCATAGCTGTTTTGCTCCTCTCACCAGTCCTTTCTTTCTGCAGCTACACCATTCTGAGCTGAGTCAAGGTTTGGCTAAGGTGCCATGTGAACCAGGATAAAGTTAAGCATTTTCAAGTTCTATTCATTTCTCCCCAGATGCTTTCCCCAGGGAGGTTCGGCTGGCACCTTCATTATACACCTTTAAGCGCCAGGTGAGAATGTTCCTCTTCAATCAGGCTTTGGGCTGATTAATATCCGATACCCTTTTGTGAGAGGGGGTGGGGGGTTATTGTTTTCTGTTTTTACCAGGTATTTTATACTGTATTTTTCTGTTGTGAACTAACTTGAGATCTGTGGATGAAGGGTGGTATACAAATTTAATTAATAAGCAAGCAAACAAATGTCAGTGGGAGACTTGAACATGAACCCATATTGTACAGAAAAGAATAAGTTTTGGTAGATTAACTGGGATACACATAAGCTTATGACTCATATTTAAATATTCAAATTACTGAACAGTCACTAATGAATATTAATTTCCCATTTTGTAAACAATAAGTAATATTTCTTTTCCCCAATAGAACAAGGATAGTATGTGAGCAGAAGCAGGTTTTCATTCCTTCAGATCCACACATGCAAAAGGATACTGCTGGGTGGGGCACAACTGGGATGCAGATCTTGATGCAACTATTATTTATTTATTTACAGGCCAGCCACCCCCATTTACATGGGGGTTATGTTCTGAGCCACTACGTGCATCAGTAAAACTGTGCATATTTGAAACACTGTTAAAAAACCTGCAAACACCTTTTCCCGCTCCGTACCATTCCGCCTCTTTTTGTGACGTTTTTGAGTCACTTCTGGGGTTTACGCAATGCACATATTGAACACGCATAAATGGGGGCGGGGTTGCATTCATTCAACCAACCAACCAACCAACCAACCAACCACCCTTCATCCATAGATCTCAGGGAAGTTCACAATACAAAAATATAAGATTTAAAAAAAAATACAAAATACATAATAAAAACAAGAACAGAAACAAACCTATAACCCCCTCCCCCACAACACATTTAAAAGGGTATCGGATCATAATCAGCCAAGGGCCTGGCTGAAGAGGAATGTTTTTGCTTGGTGCCTAAAGGTAAATAATGAAGGCACCAGTCAAATCTCCCTGGGAAGAGCATTCCACAAATGGGAAGCTACTCTAGAAAAGGCCTCTTCTTGTGTTGCCATCTTCCAGATCTCTCATGGAGGAGGCACATGAAGTGGGGCCTCACATGATAGTTGCGGGGTCTGGGTAGGTTCATATGGAGAGAAGTATTGCAGTCCTTGAGGTGTTGCGGTCCTGAGGGAATCTCCTAGGGAAGAGAAGGGTTGTGGAAGTGTCTGAATCCAGGGACCTCCTTTCATGCTGCACCACCAAGAGCAGATTCCTCAAGCTACTGTTTCTGTTGGAGGTTAACAAGGACAGAAACCTGAGGAAGCCGCTGGTTTTGAGTTCAAAGCCCTACTGTCTTACAGTTCTCAGATTAATATGCAGATTGAAATGTTCTGCTTTGCGGGGGGGGCGGGGATGCCCAACAGATTTTTATGATATATTTGAACTATGAGGGCTCACTTTAAAACTCTCCTTCTGTTTACAGGTAGAAGGTTCAAGTGGTTAAAAAAATCTGTTTTCTGGCTCCTGTTATTAATGCTCCAAAAGGGAATGCAAATATATATAATAATATGCTTCTAAGGGCATAATGGTGTCCCATCTCTCCAAAGGACGACCTCAAAAGTATCTTTAAAGATAAAATTGCCCTTCATCTGAGGATCACAGGGTGGTTTACAATATGAAAACACAGAAATACATACCATAGTAACAGACAAAAATACTGTCCTGCCCGCAGCTTAGAAGGCTGTAGATTGTTTAATTAGCCAAAGGAATGGAAGAAGAGGAATGTTTTTACCTGGTGACTAAAGATATGCAACAAAGGTGCCAGGCAAGCCTTCCTAAGAGAACATTCCACAAGTGGAGAGCCACCACAGAAAAGGCCCTTTCTCATATGCCACCCTCCAGACCTCCTGTGGAGGAGGCACACAAAGAAGGGTCTCAGATGATGATCACATGAGAATGGGCCTTTTCTGTGGTGGCTCCCCACTTGTGGAATGCTCTCTTAGTTAGGTCTGCATTGGTTTGTATGGGAAGAAGTGGTTCTTGAGGTACTGCGGTCCTGAGCTGTTTAAGGCTTTATAGGTCAAAGGGCCCAGAAACTAATTGGCAGCCATTGAAAGTCAGGCCAGGATTTGCATTATATACTCAATTTTTTCTTGTCCCAGTGAGCAATCTGGCCGCTGAATTCTGCACTGAATAAAATAGAATATTAAGATACCCTCCATAAATTTATCCAGCTCAAGTCTTGGACAGTTCCTTGCTCCTAGGACATTCCAAAAAGGCTTTCCTAAAACTTGGCAGTGCTAACAGAAGCTACTCTTTTCCAATCTTAATATGTAGCCATTTGCTCTTGTAAGACCAACAGTCAAATCCTCTATTGCAGGCCCTGCCCTCCCCCTGTTAAGGTATTTTCAGAATGCAGTTGATAACCATAGGGGCCCCATTTTCTAAACTTAGTCTGTTTTCAAAAACAACTTCCCCTCTCTTTACGAGCTACTTTCTCCATTGCAACAACCACCTGAGTCCCTGTTCTCGATACTTACTAACTGAGCTCATTCTTCCTGAATAAGGACTGAACAAGGCCTTTCTATCCTGGTAAGAAATACAGTGGTACCTTGGCTTACAGACACTTCAGGTTACAAACACTTCGGGTTGCAGACTCCGCTAACCCAGAAGTAGTACCTCGGGTTAAGAACTTTACCTCAGGATGAGAACAGAAATCGTGCACCAGTGGCGCAGCAGCAGGAGGAGGCCCCATTAGCTAAAGTGGTACCTCAGGTTAAGAACGGTTTTAGGTTAAGAATGGACCTCTGGAACTAATTAAGTTCATAACCAGAGGTACCACTGTACATGAAAAAATCTGCATTTGAGCAGCTTATACTTAGGCTGTGATCAACTGATCAGAATAAAACTTGCTCTTCTCTCATTTCCAGTTACTGAGACACTGAGGATGATACAATACAGACCCTCAAAAACAGCACCAAATGTTTTTGAACTATACTAGTTAGGAAGCTGAGATTAAACAACAGTTTATTCGTTCAGATGCAATGAGAAACTGGTTTAAACTAGCCAGGATAGGAATAGCAAAACTGGTATGCAAGGAGAGGAGGGATGACGTTTGTAGCTTAATAAACTATGATTTATTAATCAGGCCAGTATTACTACATCCAAACTAACCCTACATGTAATGATATTAAACACTGATATCTACTAAAATCCAAACAAACTATTATTATTATTCTTTATTCATAAATTTTTATATATTCTTTATTGTTAATTATTGTTATTATTAAACAAGAACCAACCAGGCTATCAGATGAGTTTGACTTTGAAAGGCGCAGAGGTGCTTGGCTGTAGACAGAGCTCTGAGTTCTGAAATTATGCAAGCTGAAGTGATGGCCACTAAAAAGGAGACCTTGAAGGAGACCTCCTCTTGTGGTTCAAAGGGAGGCTTCTGTAAAGCTGTTAGCACCTTGTAGAAGTTCCTGGATGGGAATCTGTGGCTGGTCAGGGAACACTTTAGAGTTGCCTCTCTAAGGAATTGTTTGAAGAGTGGATGGGATGAGAGGGGGCAGTGGATGGTTATGGCAGGATAGAAGAGAGAGCCACTGCTTGCCATTTGAGGGTATTTGAGTGAGGGCCTTTGCCAAGGCTATCCTGGAGAAAGGAAAGGATAGTGGAAAACTTCCACTTTCTTGGAGAAGCGTATTGTGGTTGCACACCTGAGCTGAAAGGTTTCCCAGGCCGATTGGTACTAGTGGATGGTGGAGGGCCTCCTGGAGTGTAGGAGTGTAGCAATGACATCTGTAGGTAAGTCCAGCTTGGTAAAGAGTCATCGTTCAAACTCCACGCAGTCAGCTGGAGCCAGTTGGGCTCCAGATAAAGAACTGGGTCCTGAGACAGGAGATTTGTAGGGTAAGTACCATGGAGGGGAAACTACCAGGTGGAGTATTTGAGGGAACCAATAACAACAAGACCAGAATGGTGTGATGAGGAGCTCTTCTCTGATCTCCTGGAGGACCCTCAGAATAATGGGAAGTGGAGGGAAGAAAAGACCTGGTGGCCATGGGAAGAGCGGGGCAATCTGGTAAAGAACTGTGGGAGCTGATGATTCTAGTCTGAGGCAAACTTGGCATTGGCTGAACTTTGACAGAAGCTGATGGAAAACTGCCAAATGCAGTTGCCATTTTGCTTGGTCCATTTTCCTGCAGTCTCGGCCAGTCTCCTTGCATGTTCAGGAGACTGGAGATGTGCTTGGCTGTGGCTGACTGGATGTTGTGCTCTGTCCAGCTGAGGAAGAGGCATACTTCTGCCTGAAGCTCCCAAAATTGGGTGCCTCCTTGTCTGTTGATGCTAGATTTCACTATGATGGAATCTGTGATGGATTAGGACGTTGCTGAGTTTGATAGACAAAGAGTTTCCATTTTGAATTTCCTGTAGGTTACCTATTGGTTCAGAAATTTTAGGTCCAGGATGGCTCTCCAAGAGACGCCATCTTTTTGGGGTACCACAAAGGAGA